TGTTCCTTAAACTAGTTGACTAAACTATGACCATAAAAGTTTTAAGATTATATGTATATTATTTTTGTCTCATCTTTTATATATAACAAACCTAAATAGACCTTCATCACTTGCTTAAGCTTTCTCATTTTTTTCTATTTTGGAAAATATCTCCACTCCCATATCCTTTTAACATCTTTTACATTCTCATTTTCTTTTTTAATAATTATGAGACATATTAACATTCTCATTTTTTTCTATTTTGGAAAATATCTCCATTCCCATATCCTTTTAACATCTTTTACATTCTTATTTTCTTTTTGTTTTTTAAATAATTATGAGACATAATAGCATTAACAAATTTTTCATTGGTTGTGAAACTTCTTTTCCTGGGGATGCTAAGCAATGCTTATTCCCTTTTAAGATTCTAGTATCAAGCCAATGTTTGATTAAAGTTTTACTAGGAAACCAATGAATTTATTGAGCTTACTTACCAAGATAACTGAGAAATTGCTGAGGTGTATGTATGACCTGAGGGTATGCACACTGGAAAGCCTTCTCTTCCTAGCCTTACCCAGATTTTCCTAGCCTTCCCCAGATTGTATACTTTAGCCCTCCCCAAATCCAGGAGGCCATGTGTGATTAGGATCAAATTACATACAGTTGGCTGGGAAGAGTAGCAGGATACTCCGGTGAGGGTCCAGTGACCCTGCTTGCCCCTCCTCTAATGAAGGAGCACAATTGTCAACACGCCCAATTGTGACGATGTTTAGCGATCAGGCTCAGCTGAAGTGGTGATGGTAGTTATTTCATGCAGAAGGCACGGCTGCATAGCATCATCTTATGAAAAGGACCTGGAATTTAAAAGGATTTGGTGCTAGGACTCACATAGGAGGAAGAACATACGTCATTTGTTTTTCTGAGTCTGTGTTACTTAACTTAGTATGACAGTTTCTAGATCCATCCATTTACCTGCAGATTTCATTATTTCATCTTCCTTTACTGCTGAATAGAACTCCATTGTATAAATATACCACATTTTTGGTAGCCACTCATCAGTTGAGGGACACTTAGGTTGCTTCCATCTCTTAGCTATTGTGAAAAGAGCAGTAACAAACATGGTTGTACAAGTGTCTCTACAATAGGATGAGTCTTAAAGAGTAGTTCATGGCAAGGTAGGCAGATTTTTTTTTGATATTTCATTTTTTATTTTATGTGTATGAATGGATTGCCAGCTTGCATGTAAGTACACCCATGTCGCACAAAGCCTGCGGAGGTCAGAAGGCAGCATCGGATCCTCTGAAACTAGAGTTACGAATGGTGGTTAGCTGCCATGCGGGTGCTGGGAATTGAACCCAGGTCCTCTGCAAGAGCAGCTAGCGCTCTTAACTGCTGAGCCATCTCTCCAGCCCCAAGATAGGCAGATTAATAACAGTTATTGTCTTTTCCCTCAGGACCAACCTTGGTATATCTGTAACTCTTCTCACTGCTCTGACAAAAACAACTTAAGGAACAAAAAGTTTAAGGGCACCCGCAGTCAGCAATCAGAGATGAGTGTTGGTGCTCTGTTCTTTCCTTTTTATTTAGTTCACAGCTTGGGTCCATGGAATGGTTCTTCCACATTTAGGGTGGATCTTTCACCTCAATAAACTGAATCTAGAAACTTCCTCACAGACATGCCCAGTGGTTTGTCTCCTGTGTGATTCTAGATCTGTCAAGTTGATGGTATTAACCCTCACTCCTACATATGCCAACCAAAGCGAGAGGCATTGATGGAAAGCATCTCATCCTAGAAAGCACGAGGAAGGAGTACAGACCTGGAAAGACTGGGGAGAGTTATAAGCTGAAAGCAATCAAAACAGAAATATTAACATCATAAAATAAGCATTCTAGAGGGAAAGAAAAAATGTGGATGAAGAAACTATTGTTTCACTTCTGTTTATATTTGGTGGCTTGAGCTCCTTGCTTCCACTTCTCCCTTTCTGAAGTTTCTCTAAAACTGATAGTAATGGTTAAAAAGAATAAGCCCACAAAAGAATGAGAAGACAAAAATCACTTGGCAGATGCCAGTGAAAATTTGGAAGCTTGAAAACACATGGATGAATTATTGATTAAGCAGAGCAGAAAGTGGAAAACAAGATGGTGGTGGGGAGACCCAGAGGCAGGGTGACTCATCCTGCAGCACACCCAGTCTACTCAGCTCAGGTACCTTTGGAAGTGGCCATGCATCTGGTACTGAAATAAGTGTGCTGAAAGTCTTTAAAATGCAGTTAGAATCCAGAATACTCTTCCTACTCTTCATGGCCAAGAGACTAGTTCTTCTTCAATTTCAACCAGAGGCTGGGAGTTTATAGTATAGACATGTTAAAATAGGATCAAGATGTGGAGACACTAAGCCCAGCTAGAAATAGAATACTGTGTTCAAATCGAACAGGTGATTAGCCTTCATTCTCTGCTAGTGTGTGAGAGTTCTCCCAGCCAAATGCTAAGAATACTATTTTTAGGGGAAGATGACAAACCCAAAGGAAATTATAGATGATGACAGGAGTCCCCAGCCAAGCCCTGAGTGAAATTCACCAGTAGATGATCCCACTAGTGCAGGGAGAGCTGCCTCAGTTTTAGGAATGATTCTTAAATATAAGCAGATAACACATGATTGGTATTTGAGGAAGGTTTTCTAGCATGAGAGAAATCCAGGCAAAGCAAAGAAGCACAGAGGGAACAGACACTACAGAAATCAAAGTTCAGCAACAACCAGGGAAGTGAGAAATACTCAACGTTTGGAGAATAAGACTAAAGTTTTCAGAATAAGAAAGAGCTCTTGGAAATTAACAACATAATAACAAAAGTATAGTAGAGACAGAAAATCAGAGAGTAAAGGGATATGTAGAAAACATTAAATGGTTTAAATACATATAAATGTATCTAAGGAAGTAAAAATGGACCAATTTTTTTAAGTAAAAGGAGAAAGGGATATATAATCTGAAGAGAAGCCAGTTAAGATAATTAGTTTAAAATAATTTTTAAATGTCAAACTGAATAAAACTAAAATGCATGTTATGGAAGCATCTTGAAAAGCCTAGGAATATGCCAATAGATGAAGAGTGAGAAACGTGGAAGACAAAAACCTAGCATCCAAAGAAAGTATGATGATGTATCTAGACAAGCCTGTAAAGTAAAAGCATAGCTGAAGACAAGTAAGGCTATAACTTTGATTTTAAAATTCAGTTTATGGGGCTGGAGAGATGGCCCAGTGGTTAAGAGCACTGACTGCTCTTGCAGAGGATCTGAGTTCAGTTCCCAGCACCCATATGGCAGCTAACAACCATCTGTAACTCCAGTTCCAGGGGATCTAATGCCCTGTTCTGGCCTCCACAAACATTGCATGCATGTATTGTACTTACATCCATGCAGGCAAAACATTCATACAAATAAAAATAAAGAAAATTGGGATGAAAGTTGGCTCAGTGGTTAAGAACACTGACTGCTCTTGCAGAGGACCCAGGTTTGATTCCCAGCACCCACGTGGTAGCTAACAATCATCTGTATCTCCAGTTTTAGGGGATCTGATGCCCTCTTCTGTCCTCCACGGGCATTGCACGATACAGTTGCACTTACCTACATACAGACTATACACTCATTCACATAAAAATAGTATCAAAACATCAATCAACAGGATCGGTATTACGCTGTATTATAAAGGACAGAGTAAATATTAACCTTAAATTGTAGTGTAATCATTTATTAAACCAAAGAATCTGTTTTAATTACAATTGTGAAAGTTGAGGTAATGTGCTAACAGCTCAATATTTGATTGACATGATTATTATTTTCTTCTATTTTTTGTTATCTTAGACTTTTAAAATATAAAGAACAAAATCCAAATGTCAAGCTATCCGTGAAAGAATCAGCTGAAGCAGCAGCAAAGGAAACATTAAAATGTAGACCATCCTCTACATCCTGGAAATTGGACCAGACTGAAGAAAGTGATCTAGATGACTATCCAGGCATGTTGATTAATGTTTTCTTTAATTGCAGAGCTTTCTCTCAAAATACAAGGTTTGCTTCTTAGCCAATTTCATTAGCCATAGCAGCTGGCAGTGCCTGCAGAGGTGAAGCTCGCATGTTGAAGGGATCATAATCTAAATACTGACGATGATATTGGTATTAATAAAAGTAATAGGCATACCCCCAGCACCGCTGAGGATCCCAGTACCACTTCATAGCTCATTGTTTCATGCAAATCATTTTTAAAGATAAAGATCTTAAAATGTGTCAGTGGTAAGTCTTCACTGCTCTCTGGCTATCTTCTGACCTCTTTTTCGCCCTTAACTACCAGTGTCTGGATTGCTCTTCCACATACACACCACCTCCCGCCCCAAAGTCTTCCTTGGCCTTTTCTCAAGCACTTCCATTTCCAGTGTGCCAACCTTTTAACCACAAATATCCTTTTGCGTGCAGCTCTTTCGTGTCCTCAGTTCTGAAACCTTCCAGTCCATCCGCAATCCTTGTTTGCGGGATAACTCTGCCACTTCCTTCAAGGTGACTTCATCAGCTCATCCCGAGCTCCTTCCTGCTGTGTCTCCTGGAATGCAGGGTCCAGCCGCTGCTGCCTTCGACATCTTTCTACCAGCAGTTCTCTAAGCACCTGAGTGTTCTACATGCTTAGCCATCTGAAAAACAAAAACAAAACCAGAGGCCTGTGAGGCCTGTGTTCCTTTCTGGCAGTTACTACTACAGGATTATTATTCTCGAAAGAGTAGCCAAGACTTCCTGCCTCTACTTCCTCACAATGCACGCCTCACGTGGGTTTGTCTTTTCTACTAATAAGATTCTTCCAAGGTCACCTGGTACTTCCTCATAGATAAATTCTCAGAAATAATTGATTTTAAACTAGAATGTCTATTTTACTCCACCATTCTTCAGAATTTTTTCTCTAGATAACTTCCTTTCGTCTCTCTTGAGTCCGTGTGTGATTGTGTACATGTGTGTGCATAGGCATGTACACATGAGAATACATCATGGGAAGACCAGAAAACTTCAGGTCTAATCTTCAGACCATTACCTTGGTTTTTGAGGCAGCTTTTCCTGCTGGCCTAAAGCGGAGTGAGTAGACTAGGCTGGTGTCCATCTAGCTCAGGGATCCGCCTGTCTCCTCTTCCCTAGTGGATGACAAGCACCACCATGCCTGGCTCTTCTGTGGTTTCTGGAGCTCAGACTCAGGTCCTCATGCCTGAGCAGCAAGCTCTTTATTGACCGAGCTATTTCCCCACCCCATCCTCTAGCTCTTGAAGAAAACTGGTCTCCTGACTGCTTTGTACTTTTCTGGCCCATCTTCAGTTTCTGACATAAGATTTTTCTCTGCTTTGGCCATCAACTCTTGGGTGTTCTGAGAGCTTGTCAGAATTAGCGTTCCTTTTCTCTCTGAATTAGATCATACTTTATTTTTGTCCTTGTATATCACCTATTAAATACCACAAACAATACTTAGGTCACTCCTGAAACTGCCTTCAAACTCTGCCTGAAGATCGCCATGTTGCTTTCCTGAGCCCTAGAACTTCTGGCATTCTTTAGACCAGACAATTTGAACTGATCTCTTTGTTGTTTTCCTCAGGGAAAAAAGGGACAGAAACAGAAGACTGGATGGGAATGCGAGAGTGGGGCAAAGCAAGGTCGTTGTGCTTTTGTTGGCCTGGAGCTTGCTGTAGATCAGGCTGGCCTTGAACTCACAGAGATCTGCCAGCCACTGCCTCCCAAGTGCTGGGATAAAAGGCATGCCACATCTGACATTTATACAAAGCCTTTGAGTAAGGAGTCAATCTAATCAGATGTGTGTTTTGAAGATCGGTGGGGAATAAGGTTTGATACAGGGAGACCAGTTAGCAGACTTTAGATTTTATGAAGATAGAATTGATCATTCATGGTGATGGGTTAAGGAGAGAGTAGATGGTGGTAAAGATGATTCCTAGTTTCTGGCTTCTTTAATGAATAGTGGTCCCATACACTGAAACAGGAAGCTTTGAAGAAGGATTTGTGGAGTCAGGGGAAGACACCATGAGTTCACATTTAGACATATTGAATTAAGAATACCTTTGGTCCATCCCAATAAAGCTGTCTAGGAGCAGTTGAATGTGATTCAGAAATGTCAGGCCCGAGGTTGTATTTGGGAGTAATCATGAGATTGGAAATTTAAGCCATAGCCACAATGAGAATCCCTGGGGAAAGTTTATAGCAATTATCAATGAGAAAAGGGACAGAGCAGTAGGCACGAGATCAGAGTGAACCTGAACAGTATGAGGGAAAAAAGAATGTGAAGTCACAGAAACAAAAGGAAAATAATTTTGTGAGTCCAGCCTGGTCTACATAGTGAGTTCCAGCCCAGCCAGGGCTATATAGTGTGAGCATGTTTCAGGCAACCTCTTCAAAAAATCATCTAAATATGAAACATAATATGTCAGTAAAATCCGAACTAAAAAATGTCCATTGAACGTACTAACCTCAAAAGTGTGGCCACTCTAGTACTATACTGATAGAATTCCAAGACTAAAGTGGATTAGGATCTGGATAATAGATGAAGAAATAAAATGGTGACTACATGCAGTTCTTTTGAAAAGTTCATCTTTGGGGCTGGAGAGATGGCTCAGTGGTTAAGAGCACTGACTGCTCTTGCAGAGGACCTGGGTTCGATTCCCAGCACCCACGTGGTGGCTACGAACCATCCTTAACTCCAGTTCCAGGGGAATCTGAAGCCCTCTTCTGACCTCTGCAGCAATGCATGACATGGGTGCACTCACTTACATGCAGGCAGTACACTCATACACATAAAATGAAAATAAATAAAATACTTTTTTTAAAAAGTTCATCTTTGAAAATGCAACATGTAATAATAACTGGGATTTAGTCAAAAATGGATATGATGTGCAAGTTATGTGCAAAAGAAAATAGCAATATAAATGTGAAGAAAAGATGGAAAAGATTGGTTTGGGTGGCAGAAGAAACAAGCCCCTCTTTTACTAAATCAGGGGCAGGAGGGAACCCCAAGGCACAGGTGAGGATTTCTTGGTTTGTTTGGCAATGGCAAGTTGAAGAAATTTCCACCTGACCCTTTGTTTCCTGAGAAGGCACTGATCTAGTTGAAGGATAGCAAAATTGTTTTCAAGTTTGAGGAGCGTGGAAAACATTAGAAATAGCCATTGAAAAGGGAGAAGAGCAAGTTGATGAAGCTGGAATTTCTGGTTTGTGTTCAGGGTCCATGTAAGTTAATTAGAATGAATTTGTGGGATCACCAACCCATGTTGTTGTGGACCTTTAACATCACTGAGATGTAAAGGTATAAAGAGATAGTCTAAGATATTGGCAAGAATGTGTAAAGACAGCATTATTTGAACTTGGTAAAATGAAGGTGAGAAAAATGAGGACTAATGGATTGTAAGAGAGTTATGGAGCCATGGAGTGGGATACTGAGGAGGCAAAAGGAATCGTGTTGGGAGTCCTAAGCCAGCTGGAAGGATGGAGGACAAACGACGATGAGCCCTGTGATGTAATAGCAGCCACCCATGGATCAACACATGGCTGAGGTATATTTTCTTTAAGATAATTTAAAAAGTTTTCAAAACTGTTGTCATTCATGGGGCTTGAATATTACTGGTTAGGGGGATTAGAGTATGAGGAGGCCTAGAACGAGGAAGGCTATAGTATCTGACAGGTCTTTATTTAGGACCATTGGAGTCATCCAAATGATGGCAGATTTGAAATGAAGAAGGTGGCCCTCTAGAGCGAAAGCCACCAGTTAACTGAGGGACTAGGCGATTGGTGAATTTCAGTGCAGTGTTGCAGTGTACACTGTAATAAAAGGCATGAACTTCAAAGGAGTAGGGTTTTATTTTTATTTTTAAAGGGTAGAAATTGTTTTGGAAGTGGTGAATGAGGAGTAAGGAAGAAAACAAACCCACTTTCCAGTCTTGGGTGTATGGCGCATGGGAGGATAAAAGGCCACCATTGGAGAGGGTATCCCTAGGGGACAAATACATTTCACAACTGTGTCTATACCTGTTCCCTACAACCAACGTTTTCTGGTTGTTGGTCTTCCCAAACAGTCCTTTTTGTCTTGTCTTTCCTCCTCAGCTCCTCATTCTACCCTAAGCTGAAACCCTCGCCATCTTTCCACATTTGCTTCCTTGGAACAGGGTGGATAGGTGTGTCTCCTCTGCTCATACAGTGGAGAATCTCCTCTGAATTGGACCTATGGACTGAAATGGGACATGATGAGACTGATGTGTTTTCATTTGCAATCATTTGTCTGTAATTTCGGTGTTTTATGCCCTACTGGGTTGTAACACCAATGGCCTCGCTGCATAAATATTTGTTAAATATGTGAGAACAAGAGCTTTTTAAAAGCTCTGTTGTCAGTTCTTTCCATCTTTCTATATGTACCCCACGAGTTAAGTAAGCCGTAGAAGAAACGTGAGCAAGACCCTGTTACCCCTCTGCATTCCTCTTTAAATATTTTCCATCCTCAGCTACACAAAGTTAATAAAAAGGTTTTTTCTATTTATTTCATAAGAGGATTCATCTTTAAAGATTTAGTATAAAATTACTAAGCAGAACAACCAACATTGCCTTAGTAAGCACCTGCTGTATTATATTAACTAATTTAATTCTTATAACAAGTAACAAGTGTATGAGGTTCTTACAGCAATGCTAGGTGGAATGTGGAAGACGAGGTAGTTACAAAAAGTCGCCGCCATCTTTATCTCTCTTCCATGAGGTCTCCCACCTCCCTTGCCTCAAGGGACATCCTCTGGGTTAGGGTAGTACCTGTTTACATCCCCGCACTTGACTTCCTCACTTCACCTTCCTAATTTCAAGGTAAGGCAGACAGTAATGTACAGTCAATTACAAAACTCTGAGAACGCATGTTTCTGTGGATTCAGCGTGTGTATCCTAACTGCTGTTACTATAGTGCCTCATATAGTGGTTGACCATATTACTTATGTGAAATTACTATGGTATTATTTATGGGTCATGGGCGATTATCTTTTTTAACTTTAAAAAAAGCTTTACTGAGAATTTCATACATGCCTATAAGGTATTTTGATCAAATCCACACCCACTCCCTCACCTCCAATACCTCCCCTATCTCCCCATCACTTTTTTCTGATAGCTTCGTGTACTTTCTCTCACTGAGAGAAAAGCACGTCAGAAATTTAATTCAATAAAAAACTTGTTATAATTTTCCTTTCTTTTCTTTCTTTTCTTTTGTTTTTCTTTTCTCATGGGGCTTTTTGCTATTCTAACATTCTCAGATCGTGGGAGAGTCTTAATTAATGACGTTTTGATTTTCAGAGTACTTCAAACAAAGTATCGCTCAACAGCGTACAGTTGCTCCAGAACCGGTTTTCCCTGAGCAAAAGAAATCAAGGAAAAAACAGGCGCAAACCCGTCATTCGCCTAAAGTTAAGAAAGCCAAGTATCGGTTTCGCTCTTACGATAGGTCAGGTATGTGGTGTCGCTGAGGCAGCTTTTAGGAAACAATGCATGTTTTCAGAATTGTCCACAGTTTCTGTGCTTATATTGAGCACTAATTTAGGGGAGGAAAAGTCTTAATGAGTTTTGTATGTTTGGTCACAAAAAGTTGTTAATTCAAGATCTTCCTTCCTCAGACTCCAGATGTCTGGAAGAACAGGTTTGTACCACCATACCTGGTTAGATTTGACAGTTTTATATCTTTGTCTGATATAAAGATTAAATGCCCACATAATTAAACAGATTTTTTTCTCCCACTAACATTTTTCCATTGACACTTTCTCTATATCTGAAATTATAACTTTAATACTGTAAATTTTATAGGATAACAGAAACGTTTCTGGTTCTCACTGAAATCTCGTGGATTCCTCCTTCAGCTCCTGAAGCTTGTTTCAGAGCCCCATAGCCATGCAGAAACATCTTCAAGATTCTAAATATCTCATCAGAAAATCTGCATCCATGTGGTGGTACTCATCCTCCCCTTGAGTGCTGAGGGCCTGTGAGAGTTCTGGCCAGTAGAATGCAGCACAGGTTAAGGGCTGTCACTCCTGGGGTGACAGCACATTGCATAAGCGTCCATCTTGCTCGCAGGCTTATTCTTATCTCTCCCTAGCTGGCTTTGAAGAAGCAGTTAAAACTTCTCATCTGAGTTTTTGGTACTGTTTCGTAAAATAACACAAGTTGCATTTAATTCTTTTTATTTATTTATTTTAGTCTTTTTGAGACAGCATCTCCCTGTAGCCCCAGCTGACCTGGAACTCACTATGTAGACCAGGCTGGCCTCGAGCTCACAGAAATCTGCTTGCCTCTGCCTCCCAAGTGCTGGGATTAAAGGTGTGCACCGTCACTCCCAGCAGGTTTCATTTTAATTCTTAGCAAAAAAATTGTTTTAGTGAAATGATGTGTCATGGCTTCTGGAGGGCTGGAGATCTAAAACAGTATTTTGGGATTGCTGGTGCTGCTACCACGACTTGTGGACTTTTCAAAAACTCCTGTGATTTATTCTATCAATGAAAAAGATATGACTGGAGAGATGGCTCAGTGGTTAAGAACACTGGCTGCTTTTGCAGAGGATCCAGGTTTGATTCCCAGCACCCACATGGCAACTAACAGCCATCTGTAACTCCAGTTCCAGGGGAATTTGACATCCTTTTCTGACCTCTGCAGGCATTGCATGACACAGGTGCACTTACATGTATGCGGGCAATACACACATACACAAATACAAATAATATTTAAAAAGATGTTTAATAAGATGCTTCTGCACAGCAAAATAAACAACCTCTAGAGAGAAGAGATAACTTGTAGAATGGGAGAAGATATTTTCAAACTACTCAACTGACAGGACATCAATTTCTAGAATATTTAAGGGACTAAAATTCAAGAGCAAGAGAATAATCCACCAATTTGAAAATGGGCAGGTTATCGGAATAGTCATTTTTCAACAGAAGGTGTGCCAATGCAAACAAGTGTATGAAAATTGCTACACATCACTAATCATCAGGGAAACTGAGTCAAAACCACAATGAGAGATCATTTCACACCAGTTAGAATAGTCAATTATAAATGCTGGTAAGGATGTGGAGAAAAGGAAACTCTCATACACTGTTGATTGGAGTGTAAATTAGTACAGCCATTATGGAGAGCAGCATGGAGGTTCCTCAGAAAAGGAATAGAAAAACTGCCAGAGATCCCCCAGTCGCACAGCGGAGGGTATGTACATATATTATATCTCTGTTATGTCTGTGTATGCACATCTCTATAAAGAGAAAGTGGTAGAGACACAGAGACAGGGAGATAGAGACACACAGAGACTATGGCAATTGCTGTGCTAGTCTCCAGCTAATATATGGGCTCAACTCAAATACTCATTGGCAAATGAATGGATTATGAAACATGGTACACATACACAGTGGAATTTCACCAGTCATGTTTAGGTCTTATTTAAGAAAGACTTTAGCTGGGCTCTGGTCTTGTATTTTCTCTTGTATAAGATCTGTAATTGTGGAATTAAATCCTTTGTGACATCATTCTTAAATAGATAAATATTGATTTTTCTTTTGAGCACCTGTTGAAGCTTAGTTTCAAAGTATAGTTTCTCCTTTAATTGTATTTGTGTTAATTTCTTTTATGTGTAAGAGTGTTATGCCTGCATGTATGTAAGTGCACCCATGTCATGCAGTGCCCACAGAGGCCAGAAGAGAGTGTTGGAGCCCCCGGAACTGGACTTACAGGTGGTTGTTAGCTGCCATGTGGGTGCTGAGATTTGAAGCTGGGTCCTCTGCAAGAGCAGCCAGTGCTCTTAACCACCAAGCCATCTTTCCAGCCCCATTTGTATCAATTTCTATAAGTTACCATTTAATTTTTTCTGTATATAGGAAGCATTGGTAATAGTATATATTCTTTTTTAACATTTTTATTCTTTGAGAATTTCATACAGTGTTGTTATTTGATCATATTCAGACCACCTCCCCATATCCTCTCGGATCTATTCCCACCTACACCTATCCCACTTTTGGAGACAGGACTTCCTTTATAGAACACAGAGCTCTGCCTGCCTCTTCCTCCCCAGGGCTGGGATTATTTTTAAAGGCCTATCCAGACTTAATTTGTGTTCCCCTTCAAATGCTCCTGGGTATGGGTTTGTCCTCTGGAGCCTGGTCAGCCTACCCAATGTCACACCCTTAGAGAAAACTGACTCTCCCTCTCCCAGCAGCTGTCAATCACCAGCAGTTCCCCAGTGAGGGCTGGTGTTTCTTTTCCAGCTCTCTTCCTCCATGCTGAGTTTTGGTCTGGTTCCGGCTTGAGCAGGTCTTGTGTATTCTGTCACAGGACTATGGGTTCATATGTGCAACTGCCCTGTTATATCTGGAAGACATAATTTCTTTGGATTCATCCTCCACCTCTGGCTCTTCTAATCTTTTCGCCTGACTGCCTTCCACAGTGATCCCTGAGCCTTCAGAGGAGATGGAGTGATACAGGTGTCCTATTTAGGGCTGAGTACTCCACGGACTCTTGTTTTCTGCATGTTGACCACTTGGGGATCTCTATACACGTTATTCTCAAGTGATGCCCATATTTGTATTTATATTGAGCTTTAATTTTTTTTCACACCAGAACCAGAAAATGATGATGTGATAAAACATATTGTTAGGCTGAGAGAGAAGCTTGGTTGGAAAACTACATTATTTCCACATGATAAGAAATGTCGCATTTCTAAAGTTGCCGCCGAGAAGCCTGCTCTAAAGGTATTATTCTACATTATTCAACTTGGACTATGAGAGTCCATTTTTGAAACTAGTTTTTAGTTAGTTCATTTCAGCCATAGAAAAACTAAAGATTCATTAACCAGAAGTTACAATAATTATTGGTAAATACTCACAGAAGTATTTTGACATAACTTATTTAAAAGATGAAAATAGATAAAACTTATCGGTTTTATTATAATACATCTTGTGTCTGCCCCCTTCTGTCCCTTCCTCTTACTCGTTGGGTCCACAGAAAAGTGCACCATGTGCCTTAAATTAGAATCTGTTTTTGTGTACCTGCGTATGTCATTTTGTGATTTTCAAAAGAATAAAAACAAAGTCATACTCTCATCCATGCCCTAGACCAACTGAGTCAGAAACTGAAAGTAGAGCCAGCCACCTGCCTTCTGAGGTCACCACTGCACAATGAAGAACCATGTCTCCACGCTGGCACTCGGCAGACTTTTCCTTTAAAGGGCCAGATAGTAAATGTTTTATGTGTTATAATTGTAGGACATATGGTCTCTGCAGCACAAGACCGTTGGTAGGCAATACACAAGTGGGTGACTTCATTCTAACAGAACTTGATTCATAAAAACAGACACCTGGCCAGGCCCTGGCTTGCTGCTCCCAACTCTAGATGGGTTACTGTAAGGACATATGGTTTGTTTTTTTTGGTCATTGTTCAATGTGAGTGACTGCAGGTACATGCGTAATGAATTTGGACTGAGGTACTTGCATCTCTGTGCGCTCACTGTGTGATCTTGAGCAAGCTGCTTTTACATGGAAAGGGTGATCATGGGATTACTGCAGAGAGTTAGGAAGTTAGATGAAATAAGAATGTGCTGTGGTATCGGGCAGGTGGCAGACCATAGTATTTCAAAACATAAAACAAAACTCTGACTGTACACACGTCGTTGGATTATCAAATAAATTATGCTTAATTTGCAAAAAGACAAGCATATAAACACTTGTTTTTAATGAAAGTAGAATTTAATTGGAACATATATGCTTCTACGTTGAATTCTAATTACATAGATGATTCTTGTATAGTAACTCTACCTACACTGTTTTGAGTAACTTCGTGTTTCAACACATAATGGCGAATGAAAATGATGTACATCACCAAATAATAGCAGTGTTCGCTCAGTTATCTGATTCTCCTTCTTTGCAGGACTATACTTGATTTTGAAGGTTTATTTGCACAGGTTATACTAGAAACCCAAACAAGAAAGTAAAAAGATACAATAATTGAAACAATCTTAAAGAAAAAAGAACTTACAACTGTAAAACTTAATACTCCAGTTATGAGGGCTGGGCATGGTGGCACACACCTTTAATCCCAGCCCTCAGGAGGCAGAGGGCAGGTTGATCTCTGTGAGATGGAAGCCAGCCTGATCTGCATAGTGAGTTCCAGGCCAGCTGGAGCTACAGGGAGACCCTGCCTCAAACAAACAAAAAACTACAGTAGCAAAACTATATGGTAAACTTAATTCAGTAGTCTCTGAGGGTATCATTGATTATTAGATACACTCTTCATAATGAAATAAAATTACCCCAAAATGGCTAAATTAAACTTTTTTATAATTTTAGAATTTTTCATCAATAAAAGTGAACATGTCAAAGCTAAAAGAAAATAGCTTTAGAATTTACACTTTAAATTGTTCTCAGTGGAAAATGACTAATTTCTTAATACTACCAGAAACTTTATAATTTGTTGCAAAAGCTTTGAATGTGAGTTTAGAGTCAGACTTGGTTTCAAATCCCTTCTTTGCTACTTTGAGTCTGTGTTTTCTCAAGTTAAATGATTTACAAAAAGACTAATTTCTGCATCTGTTAATGAGATTAAAAGAATCAAGCCTTAATCCCTTTAAACTCAAGGTTAAACATAAGATATTAAATACAGCATTGTTAATATTATACATGTGATACACTCATTGCTTATTTTTTATTACCTACCTAACAAATATTACCTGTTGCTATTAGAATACAAGGATACTGTAATTATTAATGAATTTTATAAATTTAGTATGTCCAGAAGGTTTCTGGTGTTGACAGAAAGTTTAATGGAAGATAGCATATATTTATGCTATATCATCAAGTCCTGAGGATTAAGAAGCTTTAGTAAGTATGTGGATAAATATTTCCAAATGTTCTCACTCAATATTTAAGAATGAAAATGAAATGTATTGTCTTTCCTGAGCTTGATCTTGTTAACTTGAATTAGACGTGATTTGATGTTAACTTTTCTCATGATACTGTTCCTATTTTTAATCTGTATTAACATTGTTTCAGCTGTATCTGTTTAGTATTTTATTAATTAATTAATTTAGTCAAACTAAGTTTCTTTTTTAATCTGAGGAACCTTTGAAAGATGATGGTGAATTTATCTATTGCCTTCCTCGGGAGAACGTCAAAGGCATTTTCAATGAGTATGATCTTCGCGTTGTGTCTGCCTATAAAGCTAAAAAGTGCAAGGAATTTTGGATGGTTTCTGCTTCATTCGTCTCAAAGGTAAAGTGTAATAGGTATCCTAGCTTTACAAATTATATAAGAAAAGCATCCAGTAGTGGGGACCTTGAGTGGAGAAGCAGTGGGGCCAATCTGACCCTGCCAAAAAGAGAGCGGAAGAGAAGAAAATGAAAATATCACACTTAGAATTTCATCGCATAGATTTCTGTTTGTGGTTTAGAGAAACCTGGTCAATTTGAGAAGTTTAAGTTCAAGAACCACTCACCTTGGGAGGAAATTATTTAATAGCAACTTTCTTTTTCTTTCAATACAGATTTAGGTTTAAGGATTCAAGTTGAAGGAATATTTCCACCTCTCAAAAACATTGTAATATTGTGTGTTATTTTCTTAAAGTAAGAACTAGGAAACAGGAAGTTATTGATATAACAGGAATATTTGTGCATGTGTGTGTGTGTGTGTGTGTGTGTGTCTGTCTGTCTGTCTGTCTGTGTCTGTGTCTGTACGTGTGTCTGTGTAGAACAGAGGAGAAGCTTGGGTCTTGTTCCTTAGGCACCATCTACCTCATTTTTTTTTCAACGATGGTCTATCACTGGCCTGGAACTCACCAAATAGGCTAGGCTGACTGGCCAGTAAGCCCCAAGGCTTCCCTGTCTCCACCTCCACAGTGCTAGGATTACAAGTGTCCATCACCATACCCAGCTTTTTATGTGAGTTCTGGGGATCAAACTCAGGTCCTCATACTTGTGTAACAGGCACTCTACCAAAGCTGTCTTCCCAGCCCAATAAAGAATAGTTTTACCACAACATTTGTCAGATACTTCTATGCCAGATGTAGAAATACCTCTGTCATATCTGGCACTATGATACCTACCACAAGTTATAATTATACGATTACCTGTTTTGATCATTTGTTTAAAAGTATACTGGAGTAGGATGGCATCTGCATGAACTGCAGCTGTATGCACAGATGTTCCGGGATCTCCAGCATGCTCTATCTGGTGAAAATGGAAAGAGCCTCTGAATGAATGAAAATGCCCATAAACACATATGCGCTGCAACTGGCGCACATTTATTTCTCAAATCTAAGAAAAGGTTAACGTTATGATGAGGGACTTTGGAATAGAAATGGTTTTGAATGTTAAAATAGGCAGTGGGGTTACAAATTGAACTGCTGGGGGCTGGAGAAATGGTTCAGTAGTTAAGAGCACTGTCTGTTCTTGCAGAGGATCCAGGTTTGGTTCCCAGCACCCACATGGTGACGAACACCTGTTTCTTAACTCCAGTTCCAGGGGATCTGATGCCCCCTTTGGGCTTCCATGGTGGGCATTGCACACATGGGTGCTTTTACATACATATAAATTAAAAATAAATAAAATTTAAAAACAAACTATTGTATCTGTATAGTTGAAGCTGAGTTCATAATAACTTTCTGTGGAGGTGCCGGTTGCGATCAAAACCATGAGTTCATGCGTCAAGCATTTGATAGTTGAATCACATCCTAAGTTTATGACCACAACTTTTATACAAAACATGAAAATCGTGAGACTAAACCTTTATGTAGTTATTTGTTCACGATACATCTGAGTGGAAAGGGGACTCCTCTCACCCTCTGCAGGAGCACAGGAAAGCAAGCAGGAGAGGATGGCTAGTCTAGTAGCAGTGTACAGTAAGGGACTTCAGATGGGATGTAAAGGGCATCGAAGAGGAGTGCAAATGGAGACGCCAAAGCGGGCTTTTCAAAGTCGTGAAAATAGAAATAAAGTAATATTTTTGTGCTTTATATTATAGATTACTAAAATAAGTATCGATAAAGAAGACGTGGAACTTATACCTGTTTTGGAATGGCTATCAGAAAGACAACGTTAGTATTTATTACAGCAATTTAAGATATTTTACAATTTTCGGTGAGATGAATGAAAAAAACAGTTGTAATTTGATCATGTTATCAGAGCAGCTGCCTGATGGCATCTGGGTCCACTGCAGTGACACTGTGTTCATGGGGAGTTGTAGGAGAAATTAATTCTTCCGTGAATGTGTTTTAGATAAAAAGGAAGTTTACTCTTCTAAGAACTAAATTTTTCAGTCTTTTCTGGATAAATATTAACAAGAACAATGCCTTATGGTCTAACAGACTGTACTGATTGTATCTCTCCTTCATGCCTTTCTTATGTTCAATGAGTATTTACTGAGCCTCCACGAAGAGCCAAGAGTTATCTCCATCATGGGTTACTGTACTGAACAAACCAATTATCCAGCTCCTCAGAAAAAGAAAGCTGTATTAGGGTAGATAAGATAATAGTCATGTGAACATACAGAATGTCAGGTGGAGAGTGGATGTTTTGAAGGAAAATAAAATGGAGTAAAGAACCCTGGGGTAGTTTATTGAATCAAGTTCATTGTTGAAAATTTTATCCATTTCTAAGACACTTTACGTTAATCTCATCACAGAGGTTCCTGCTGCTGTTCTTTGAATATTTGTACAGTACCAAGTTTAATTTTCATTTTTTTTGTCTCCAGCATCTGCCTTCTCTTGCTGTCCTACTTCTACTCATTGGAGACTAAAAACGGATATAAATTATATATTTTTTACATAAACATAAATGTATACATTAAATGTATACTACATATTAAATATAAAAATTAACATGCATATCTAAATATATAGATCAAACCCAGTGCCTCACACATCCAGACAAGTACTCTGGCACCAAGCTATGCCCCTGAGATGAGTAATATTTTAAATTGTTAATTGCGTATGATGGATAGCTTCATTAAGGATCAGCAGAGCTTTGACACAGTGAAGTGCATGGGATTCTGTGGAGAGACATGACTCATTTGCTGAGTAGTGTTTACTGTGTACTATTCTTTTTCTTTTTTTTCTAATTTTTCCCATTTTTATTGAATTTTTTCAGATTTCATACGATAATATTTTGATCATTGAGACCCCCCCATCCACACCACTCTTACAGCCCCCCCACTGAATTTTGTGTGCTCTGTCATGAATATTAAGCTCTATTGAGCCAAGTTTGTGTCCCCAAATGGCATTTGATGTGCATGCATCCACTGGAGCCTCATTAGCCTATCTAGTGTCACACCCTTAAAACCAGCTTTCCTTCTCCCAATAGTCAGTGGCCACTAGTTCCTCAGCCAAGGTTGGGACTTCTTTTATTATTTTTTATCTATAGATTTTGTGTATTTCATACAGAACATCCCAAACAATCTTATTCATCTTTATACCCACACCCCAAATGGCACCCACCCTCCCATAGCCTCCCCCCGCCCATACTATTCTTTTTCACTGGTATAAGTGTGCAAATAGAACCATCAAAAGAATATGCATGTGTCTGCCCTACCAAACTTACATTCTTAACAATAGTATATTACTAGTGAAGGTAGTTTTTTTTTCTCTTTTCAGAATGAATAAAGCCTTTGTTACTTGGAAAGCAAACATTAAAAGAATTAAGACAGACAAGAGCAGGTAAATCTTAATATGCAGTGCATAAAAATTTCAAAATCAAGCTATGTTTTTTAAATGTAATATGAAAACGTAATTTAATTTTAATTCAGTGATTGTAAAGTCATATATTGATGTTTTGATTATACTTAACCACACTCCCCCCTCCTTTTCCTGCTCCCTTTCCCTCTCCCCTTTCTTCTCTCCCTCCTTCCTAACAACTTTCCATACTTACAGTTCCAGGGGATCCAATGCCCTCTTCTGGCTTCTGTAGACATTGTACACATGGGTGCACTTACATACATATAGGCAAAACACTAATACACATAAAGTAAAAAAAAGTAAATAAAAAGTGCCAAAGGTTGGTTGTGGCACATACCTGTAATCAAAGTACTTGGAAGGTAGAGACAGAGGAATCAAGAGCTGCTTCTTCTTTTCAAGGTCTTCTTTGGCTACATATCTGGTTCAAGGATAACCTGGGCTACATGAGACCCTGCCTCAAAAAAAAAAAAAAGTAAATAAAAAAGCAAACTACTGTATCTATGTAGTTAAAATTATATTTAGCTTTACGGGAATATAAGTTAAAGCCATAACACTAGGAAAACACAAATTAAAACATGGTGAGATGTCGCTACATACCCATCAAAATGTCTAAAATTAAAAGTAGTGCCAATAGCAGGGTGTGCAGAAACGGGAATGCTGGTGAGGATGACAGCCCTGGCTGAGGATCTTTTAACAACTACCAGCTGATGGGAGAGGGAGAGTCAGTTGTCTTTAAGGGTGTGACACCTGGTAGGTTGACCAGACTCCAAGACCACACCCAAGAGCTTTTTAGACTTGCTAGGTCTTTAAAAAACAATACTGGAGGACATGAAATAGGGGCGGGGGGCAGTACAGTAGGGTTGGGATGGAGATGGGAGAGGACATCTGAATATGGTCAAAATAACATTGCGTGAAAGTCTCAAAACAAAAACAAGCAGAACTACAGCAGCTTTTTACTGTAGCCTTAAACATTGGAGAATGCCAGTTAAATGGATGGGGTGGTCAGTGGTCAGCTGAACTTATGAACTCTTGTCATTCCTATAGTTTATATTGTTTCAGATAAGTGTCTGATGTCCACCAGAGCTGTCTTTGCAGGTGATTTTCCTTCTTTGTGTACCACAGCCTGTGGTGGCCACTCTTGCCCTCCTGAGCCTCCATAGATCGTACCTCCTGGAGTGGCTAGTTTTAGTTCCAGGGTGTTTCTCAAGTGCATTGGAGACGTGAGGAGCAACCACAGCACTGATATTGGTACAGGCAGAGGACCTGGTCATACTTTCAAGACTTCCTGAGTTTTAATCACTCTCCTGGAAGGTGGTAGCTGTGGGTATCACGGATACCCCTGAAGCTTTAAGAGTTCTCAGGCTCTGTAGCAGTGAATGACAGTGAGCTATCAAAATCCAGAGTAATTCTCAGTTGATATAATTTGAGGTTGGGGATATCCCTGCTTATGCCTCCCAGCCTCAACTAGCCACATACTACCTGCCTGCTCTGGTTTGACGTTGTCCCGCCCTCCTGCTCCCCATTTCTGTCCTGTCTCTGCCTTCCCTCACCCAGGGAGCTGTGGCAGGCTAAACCAAGGCTCCTCTACCTGTAACTATTCCCTGATGTCCGATTCCCAGGGTAACTCAGTTTAGCAGATTTTTTTTCCCTCAAGATGGTACTTAGCCATTGCCCTCCAAGTTAGTGTTACAAAATGGGATTTCTCTCCTTCACTGGTTATCTGCCAGGAGGATCAGTCTCACCAAACCTACAACTGGATCTGCAGCTGATGAGGGCTGCAGGCTTGTCCTGAGGCTGGGACCTCCTGTCTTTCCACTTGGAAAACCAACAGGGTTGTGTTTAGTTTACTTCTTGGCTCACCATCTTATTTTCTGTTCTTTTCTGGTGTCCTTTCACTTCTTGTGACGATTACTGAAGCTCTTCCCCTATTTTTTTTCTTTCTTTAAGTTAGATTTTAGGAATGGAGATGAAAAACTTGGGTTTGAGAGAAAAGCACTAAGAATTGTCCTTCCAGGGTAGAGATGCATTAATACCACAGATCGTATACACAGGGTTCTGAGCAGCGTCTTCAGTCCCACCAGACAACAGGACAGTTCCTACTCTTAAAAGTTTCTGAGAGAGGGGAGGTCCCATACCACAAGACAGCAGGCTTAGATAATAAGTAGCCTGTACTTGCAGTCCCTTTCCCTGATCCCTGAGGTAGGGGGAGGATTTGACCCTTTGTGAAGGCTAGCAGGGTCACAGCAGGTAGCCTGTCACCTCTTCATAGCATGGGGAAGGGAGAGTGAGATTGCAGGTGTGCTGTGTGGCTAGATCTGTAAGGCATTTTCTCTTAGCCGGTGTGCCTTTCCCCAGCTGACACCAATGCAGCCTGTTGTCCGCCATCTTACTTGGAAGTCTTATAGTCATATTTTTTTCTTGTTTTGCTGTTGAGTTGGGGGAGTTCTTTCTCTATTCCTTGTGGGTTCTTTTTAGATACACCAGGTATGTTCCACGGTTTCTGGAACTATAAAGTAGTAGACTTGAAAGCCTCACTGACCTAGCAGTCTTTAATGACTTGGCTGTCACTCTTCCCCCTTGTTAAAGTGCTGTCTTCTGTTGCAGCAAGGATTAGAGGAGAGGGACAGAGTCGGTTTGTGCTGACCCTAAATTTTGCATATGTGCAGCGCCTCGCCCTTTCGTTCTTCAACAGAACTTTAGCAGATCAAGATTTTTAAAATTTGATGAAGTACAGTTCATGAATTTTTTTCTTCTATGGAATTACGCTTTTGGTATCTTCTTTTTTTCCCTAAGGTTTTTATACTTTGCCTGATTTAATCTTAAATAAGGCATGAGACTTAAGGTAAAGTTCATTTTTCTCCCTGTGGGTATTTAATTACTCCAACATTTGTTGAAAATGTTGAAATATCCAAATGCTTTTGTGCATTTGTCAAAAATAAGTTTGGCATGCACATGGGTTTGTTTCCAGTTTCTACAGTCCGCTCCACTGGTCTTCATGGTCTATTTATCAGCCAGATCATAGTGGCTAATTGCTATAGCTATAAGTTTTAAAATCAAGTAGAGGGACCAGAGAGAGTGCTCAGTGGTTAAGGGCACTGACTGCTCTTGCAGAGGACCTGGGTTTGATTCCCAGCACCCACATGGTGGCTGACAACTGTCTGTAACTCCAGTTCCAGGGGGATACTATGGCCTCTTCTGACTTGCAGGCATTGCACGACATGGGTGCACTTGCATGCAGACAATACACTCATACACATAAAAATAATAAAAAATACATAAAATTGGATAGATTGATTTGTTCTATTTTATTCTCATAATTCTTTTAGCTTTTCTGCTTCATCATTCCATGTACATTTTAGAATCATCTCTATATAAGTAATCTCTGAATTTTGCTAGGAATTGTTTAAGCCTTTATACAATTTAGCAAGAATTGACATTTCTGCGGTGTTGAGTGTCCTCCCCCCTCCCCCCGGATGAATGTCATATATCTCTCTGGGTCCTTTTAATTTCTTTCATTATCATTATATAATTTTTAACATACAAGTCTTACACTATTGTTTTAGTCTCCATTCTTCAGAGAAACAGAACCCATATACACATACATACAGATCTAATACATGTATACATACATGCATATATACATACATAAATTCACATGTATGTATAAATAAAAGGAGATTACTCATAAGGCGCTGGCTCATGCAGCTACAGAAGCTGAGATAGACTCAGAGCCTCAAGCTAGCATTGCTGATGGTACAGTTTCAACCTGAGACCAAAGGCCTGCAAACCAGAAGAGCCGATGCCTCAGTTTAAAGTGGGACAAAGGGACAATTCTTATCTTCCCTTTTGCTTTATTCAGGCTTTCAATGAATTAGATGAGACCCTATCAAATTAAGAAGGGCAAGGGGCTGGAGTGGTTAAGAGCACTGGCTACTCTTGCAGAGAACCTGGCTTAAATTCCCAACTCCCACATGACAGCTAACCATCCGTAACTCCAGTTTTAGGGGATCCGATGCTCTCTTCTGACCTCTGGGGACTTTGCATGACACAGATGTACTTACATGCATATAGGCAATGCACTCACATAAAATAAAAATATTTGAAAAAAATTAAGGGCAATCATCTTTGCTCAATTACCATTTTAAATGTTAATCCAGATATGGTGGTGCATGTCTATAATCCAGCAGTTGGGAGAGCCAAGAGGACCATAAGTTTGAGCCAGCCTCAGCTACATAGTGAGACCTATAAAAGAATCAAAGCAAAGTACTTCTGTGATGTTTCATGTATTTGAACACTTGGTCCCTGGGTAGTGGTGCTGTTTGGGGATATTGTGAAACTTTTAGGAAGTAGGTCACTGGGGAGTAGGTGCTGAGGCTTAGAGTCTGGCCTCACTTTTGGCCTGAGTGTCTCTCTGCTTCCTGATCTGCCAAGATGTAATAGATCATGCCTCAATTTTCTACCACCAGGATGAAGACCCATGTCTCCCTTGCAGTGAAATTATAAGCTAAATTGGATTTTTCTTTATGTTGCTTTTGTTATTTTGTCACAACAACATGAAAAGTACCTAATACAGAACATTGGCAGTGACCGTAGGGTTATTGCTGTGAGTAACCTGGCCATGTGATTTGTAGGCTTTGGGAACTAGATTTTAGAACAGGGAAGAGTTTGAAACTGAAAGCTAGACGTCATTAAGGGCCATATTGGTAGGAGTGCGGAAGAACAGCATGCCAATAGAGATGGTGGTGACGAGGGCCTGACTCAGGAGGTTTCAGAGAACAAGGACTCTCTTGGGAACTGGGCGAGGCGATATTCAGGTTATATTCTGACAAAGAATCTTGCTGTGTTCTGCCAATAATTCTGTTTTGCTTTTTTTTTTTTTTTTTTGGAATTTTGTTTTAAGACAGAGTCTTTCTGTAGCCCCAGTTGGCCTGGAACTTGCTATGTAGACCAGGCTGGCCTTGATCTCATACAGATCTGCCTGC